TGTTTTAATATTTTACTGAAGAACTCCAGGAACACATTTAAATGTTTTAATATTTTACTGAAGAACTCCAGGAACACATTAAACATGTTTTAATATTTTACTGAAGAACTCCAGGAACACATTTAAACATGTTTTAATATTTTACTGAAGAACTCCAGGAACAGTTCCATCATGTGGTTGAACAAGGTTTTTCAGAAGAAGCTGCTCTCATTTTACACAGATCATAATAAATACATTTAAAAACAAAATTAATTTGTTAATTCTAACTTCTCTGTGGTTCTGATCCAAACAACATGAGAACTCACAGAGACCCAGTCTGAGCTAAACCATCAGAACCACCAGAGAACCCGTCATCATCGGTTCTGGTTCTGTTTGCTCCAGATAAACACCCACAGTCTGGAGGAAAGCTTCATTTGGGTCAGGACCAGGGTCTGAAACTTTTACGATTCTGCTCCTCGGCTCAGGAGCCCATATATACTACAGTGATCATCAAGTGGTGGCCCGTGGGCCACTCTGAGTCTGTTCAAGTGCTGGTTTCTGGCCAGTGGGGGTGACTTTATACACAATATTTAAAAATATCAAGTGAATTTAAACATTTAATATTATTTTTACACTTTAGGATAAGAAAGACTATTTTTGATCTAAACAATAACAAATACCTTTTATAGTTCAAACCAAAGTCAATAAATAAACTTTTATATGTTTTATTATTTAATAAATTCACCATGTTTCTTCTCAGTAAACTGTCTCACAGCTGTTCTTATAAAGTGATGGATTTGACAATGAAACATACAAACTAGGGTTGGGCAATATTGGCAAAAAATTAATCATGATTAATTGTGGTATTTAGCCGATAACTATTAATTTGATGATTAATCCCCTGGAGTCCCTGGACACCCTTATGTCCTGGTCACATGACCTGTTTACTGGGAAAGATTTGCTCTTCATAAAAATCTGTTCCAAACTGTGTCAAATTTACAGACTTCAGGCTACAACATCAAACTTTTAATTGTGTTATAAATAAATAACAGATTTTTTTAATACAATATATGGACAGGAGCATCGAGCGGACTAATCGTATTAATCATCAAGTGGCAAAAAACAATCGATTAGTGATTTATGACGATTAACTGCACACGATATGATTATGTCCCGCCCTAATACAAACTGCCAGCAGGATCTAATCAACACATTTCAAACCTTTAACTAAATCTGCTGAAGCTAGCTTTCTCTTTTGTGGGTATTAAAAACAAACAAACAAACAAACAAACAAACAAACAAACAAACAAACAAAAGCTTTCACCTCTTAGGCCCCAATGAGTTTTCTTTTTGTTCAAAAACCATGCTGAAATGTAACTGTATTTATCTCAGCATTTACAAACTCTACTTACATAATC